GTCTTGTCTCCATTGGCAACACGCACGATTTGTGTCGATTGCAAGTGACGTCGCAGGTGTCGGAGAGTGCAAGTGGCGATTGCAAGTGACACTGTAATTTAGTTTATTTTTTCTTGTCTTCACCACCTGGCTACTGTTGTAAAATGTTGAGAGATTCAAACAAAAATTAATCAATAAATAGAACAAAATAAAAAAGACTGCAAGTGACGTCGCTAGCGGAAGTGCAAGTGTCTGAGATTGCAAGCCTGAGAGTGCAAGCCTGAGAGTGCAAGCGCCAGCTGCAGCCAGACCCTTCTCAGAGTAACAGCATCATGTCATCACTATCAGCTTCAAAGTAAGACACATAATCACACTAAAGCGTCTTATACATAGATTCGTTTGCGATTGGCTACTTTTCACTCGCTTTTCCATCCATTTCCTTTGGCAGGTCCTGGGCTGCGTTTCTCGATAACGATTGATCTTAGAGCTTAAGAGCGTTTGCTACGAGTCATTTTACGATCGTTCGTTATTGTTTCACGTGCGTTTCCCAAAAATGCACTTAACCCAGTCGCGTGTTAGGGGGGCCCCCCCCCCCCCAGTCTTTGAAGCATATTTCCTACATTACTTCTTTTATTCATTTTTTGTTCAGTTATTCAAGTTAGATGTGTATTTCTAATTTTTCTGCCCTTTTTAATTATTTCATTTATAAATTCATTAAAAAAACGAGTAATAAAGTGTACAATAAAGCACAATCAAAACTTTATATTATAATCACATTGCACTTGAATAAAGTTAAAGGTGCAATCTGATTGTCCTGCAGGTGACTGCATAAATCTGTTTTCTTACGATGCACACTCTAAAAAATGCTGGGTTAAATACAACCCAGTGCTGGGTAAAATAGGGACAAACCCAGCAATTGGGTTGTTTTGGCCCAGCGGTTGTGTTACTACCCAGAAGGTTGGGTTAAACATTTAACCCAACCGCTGGGTCAAAACAACCCAATTTTACCCAGCATTGGGTTGTATTTAACCCAGCATTTTTTAGAGTGCACTTAGGGCTTTACGATTACTCCAGAGCACTCGTAGATCTACGATGATTTTCAAGTGCTACTTAAGTTACGATGCTTTTGGGAAACAGACCGTAATATTAAGATCAGTCATAGGATCGTTTTTACGAACTTCTTAGGCTTACGAAGCTTTTGGGAAACGCAGCCCTGTCCGTTCCGTGGATATAGTGCATGATTATGCAGATCAGATCTTTCTGGACGTGACTTGATAAATGTTCATTTATTAATAAATATTAACGAATAAACCATCCATTTAAAATAGTAGGATTTATTTATTCACAATCATTAGCAATGTTGTATTTCTTTTAAGTTAGGGTTAACGGGAGAACTACATATAATTAATATTCATGACCAAGGTCTTTACCTGAACTTAAAAATACAGCATGCAGCCTGTATGTAAGGTATAGTTTTGTCACATATGTATGTTAACTTCTATAACTTTAACGTTATATATAATTCTTAATAGATCATTAGTTCAAATCACACCAAGACGAATTCCTTGTGTGTGTAAACACACTTGGCAATAAAGTTCTTTCTGATTCTGAACTGCGTACGAACTCAAACTCTGAACTCAAACAGCGTACGCTCTTCTGTGTCAGCCGCGCTGCACGGATGCGCTGTTTTCGTTCAAATCAAAGCGTAAATACATGTAGAAAACGTATCCTTGTGTCACGGCTGACACAGGAGTGCGTACACAGTTTGAGTTCAGTGGATATTCTCCAAAATGGCGCTACGGTGATGTGGAAAGACACAGAGGAGACAAATTGTTGAATAAAGTTTTTTTTTTTTTTTTATTCGTGTACAAAAAGTATTCTCGTCGCTTCATAAAATTCAGATTGAACCACTGATGGCAGATGGACTATTCTGACGATGTCTTTCATACTTTTCTGGACCTTGACAGTGCAATTTACTTGGCAGTCAATAGGACAGTCACAAGCCTCCCGGTTTTCATCCAAAATATCTTAAATTGTGTTCCGAAGACGAACGAAGCTTTTAGGTTTTTTTTTTTTTTTTATTCGTGTACAAAAAGTATTCTCGTCGCTTCATAAAATTCAGATTGAACCACTGATGGCAGATGGACTATTCTGACGATGTCTTTCATACTTTTCTGGACCTTGACAGTGCAATTTACTTGGCAGTCAATAGGACAGTCACAAGCCTCCCGGTTTTCATCCAAAATATCTTAAATTGTGTTCCGAAGACGAACAAAGCTTGTACGGGTTTGGAACGACATGGGGGGTAAGTGATTAATGACAAAATTTTAATTTTGGGGTGGAGTAACCCTTTAAACTGCATTGTATGCCTGCATAAAACACAGGGTGGCAGTGTTGTCACTGACAGAAAACAAAGCGTTAACCCACATTGAAGCTCATTTGTACTTTCCGGAAAGCCAATGCTATAAAGCACGTGTGACGCAAATAGTTTCATGGTTGAAGTGTAAACCAGATGCTCAAGTGAGTGAAAAAGTGAAATAAGTGACCGTGGTGGGTCTTGAATCGACACGGTTTTATATCATGACACCAAAGGTCTTCTTTTATCCTTTCACCTACTTAAAAGTATTTCAGATGATGGAAAAAGGAATGAATTCAGGTCATATTTTACAATTATTGCAGCAGGAAGCTGATGCCACATGACACTATGCCTCATTCGAGAGTAGAAAAAAGCGAGGGAACATCAGGCATGTCTGTGAGGCTTTCCCCCATTTTAATGGTTTGTTTTCACCCAAACTTCAGAGCGGTAACCATAGAAACAACTTCTGCATGCCCAATAGGTCACTGAAGGGCAAGGCCGGAGCACGTGGGAGGATTGGGAACACGCCAAGCTTCGGAGAACATCCCACAGTTCAACAGAGATGAGGCGGTGGGAGGCAAAGGTAACACCCACATCTTATGCATTCATCTTTTTCAGTGCATAACCTCAGAGGCCGTGTCTAAGATAGTGACCAAACAGCTCAGCCTTTGTTTTGGCAACAGGGATTCTCCCCTCACACTGCACACCAGTATTCGTCACATGTGCTTGCTAAATCATTGATTTCAGAAGCGATAGTGTTCTATGACTGGCTGCTGGTTGGTTTCACTTCCATTCTTAAACTCTGGTTTAGTTTTGGGCGATAAGAATTTCAGGTTTATGTTTTAATTTGGATCTTTGGTTTGTGTTTGTTTTGATGCCACTACGTTGCCAGGAAGAGGGTTCTTTTCGGATAAGAGAGCCATCTATGTGATCCATGATTCACATCCATGATTATGTGCAGTTTGGAGAGCTGCAGCTATGCAAAGAATGCTCTAATTTCCATATCTCTGCCATTTGGTTTCTCTTACCTGGCAATGGCATGTGTAGTCATTGGCAGTAATTAGTGGTGCATACAAAATAGTTTCTTTCCAAAACTCTAAACCAAAATTAACTTTCATTTAGCTAAAAACTGAAACCGAAAATAAAGTTTCGGGAGTCAATTTTGGGTAATTGAACTCTTTATGCAGTAAAAACTGTAAATCAAACAAAGTTTATTAAAGGATGGTTTAAGAGAAAATGGTATTTCAGTATTTCTACTTCAAAATTTCACATTTAATTAATTGTGTTACTTGCCATTTCTTTGTTATTGTTTGTGAAATTTACTAGAATTTTCTGAGTAAAACT